AACGTCCTGGGCCATCCTCAGGCTTCCTCAGCCAACCATGGCAGGTTTTAAACACCAGCAGCAAAACACAGAACCTCACTAATGCCAAATAATCACAGCTAATGGATAATTGGAATTATTCTTTCCATCCAGGCATGCACAAAAGCCACACAGGGGTTGGAGTTGCTGCTGTGGGGGGAAGAGATGGAGGTTCTGTGCAAGGTGATGCTCGCACCTGAGCTGTCTTTGGTGAGTGAGGTGAGGTGCTGCCCTGGTCCTGGTGTCTCCATCTGATTTTCTCTGTGTGCTTCAGCAGGTCAGGCTCTTTCCCACAGAAATTCCAGATGATTTCCTGTGATAGGTGAGAAATACTTTTCCTGCCTGTCTTGAAATGTTAAAATGTGACAACAACAGTATGGAATTTTCTTTGTAGAATCCTGATTTTTTTTTTTCTGTATCCAGGTGGCTTGAGTTTAATATCAGATCTATCCCTATAATGATAGAAATGCGACTTTTATTCCATAAAAAGATGGGAGATGTCTCACTCTGCTCTTTTCCTGGTTATAATCATTGCTTGTTCCAAGCCCTGCAAGACTTTGAATAGTCAGCCTTCCTGAACACATGACAAATATATCACAGAATCACGGAATATATCACAGAAACACGGAATATCCTGTGTTGGAAGGGACCCACAGGGATCATTGAGCCCAGCTCCTGGACTCGACATAAATATGAATTTATATTGAATTACTACAAAAGTGCAGATGTGCTTAAAGCAGTGTGAGGGAGCTGCTGTGGGGCTCGTGGCTGTCACGGAGGACACACAGGATGCACAGTTGCTAAACCACCCAAAGCACGTCCTGTTCATCTCAGTGGGGAGCGTTTCTGGGTCGGGATTCTGGAAAACTGAACAGTTCACTCCTAGTGAATGAATAAATGCAGCCAACCTGCAGTCAGGCCAGTCAGACATAGATTTTAACCAGAGAGTTTTGGAAGATAGCAGCAGCCATTCTTTAAATGCAGATCACTTGGGGATGAGCTGCCAGTGTTCTGTAGGTGTGAGTTTGATTTGCTGGTTTTGTCAGGGTAGGTACAGCTCCAGCTGAGTGTGGCCTCCAGCCTCAGCACCGATGTGGCAGCCCTAGCAGCTCATACTTGAATTTCACAGCAGCCTGCACTGTTGTGTGCTGGACTCGTGCTTCTGCACCAGGCTCCATCCACCCCAGAGCTCCAAGCTTGTCCCCATTACCTGGGGTCCTTCTCCCCTCACCCCATTACCTGGGGTCCTGCTCCCAGCCAAGCCTGGCCTCCCCTCTCCTGTGAGGATGATGTCAGCTCTGCCTCCCTGCTCCTGCCTTGCCAGCAGGTAGGGAAGGAGTGACTTTTGGCCATGGCAGCGTGTCCCAAGCCTGGCAGTGCTGAGGGAGCTCGGGACAGGCAGCAGCTGCTGCTGGGGAGGATGGAAGGCTTTGGGAAGCAGAGGAGTGTCCAAGGCCAGGCTCTCAGCAGTTCCTTGCCTTCCCTCTGCCTGGGAGCTCCTGCCAAGGACTGTTGTCCCCAGGCCCTTATCTCTCTGGAAGGCTGTGGTGAGATGTTCTCTGTGCAGCTTTGCGTTTCTCCTGCCACTCCTCAGGCTGGGCTCTGCTTCCCCTCTGCTTGGGCCGAGCTCGTGTGGTGGGGAGCTGTGGGAGTGTGGAGATCTCTGGTCGTGCTGTGCCTCCATCCCTGCACTTGGGGAGGTAACAGCTGCCACAGCTGCCTGGCCTGGGGCAAGGACAGGCATCCAGGGGCTCCTTCCAGGCTGTGGATAAAAACAGGCTCAGTGGGGCTGAGAACATGGCCAGCAGCAGGAGGAGCTGAGCGGGAGGACTCGTGCCAGAGCTTGCCCGTGGCAGTAGGAGCCCAAGGGATGAGGGACTTGGTTTGCCCTCCAGACCAGCTCTGGCTGTCCCCTCCCCGTGGCCATGGGCACAGCAGTGGCTCCTGGGGGACTGTGCAGGGCATGTTGGCCCTGGTGATGTGCTGAACCACTCAAGCAAATCATCCTAAAATAGGCTTCATATGTGATGCAGAAGAACCCAAGCAAAACAGAGCCCAGCCAACCCCAAATTTATGCTTGTGGTTACTGAAGCTTGTGAGATCAATTTTTTTGTTTACTTAAAGCTGATTTCAAAGAGTTTTGGTTTTTTTTTTTTCTTTCTTTTAATTCTCATTCTTGATCCTTGGGCTGGGGGATGGTCATGGCACTGCTCCAGCTGGGGCTGAGCATCCTGCTGTCATCATCACAGAGAAGCTCTGGCCCAAAAGGCACAGAATTAAGGTTCTGATGAGGTGGGGGAGCACTGTTACACCCCCAGAACAGGACCTGTGGTCACTGCTCCATTAGCACATCCCAGAAATCATCTGTGGCATCCTGAGAGATTCTTTTATTCTTTTTATTATTTTATTTTTTCATGACAACCTGGTAAAGTAGATCTCAGCAGAGCTTTATTCTTTCTTATTTCTGACTTTTGAAAGTGTCATGGATGCCTTCCCAAGCTCTTTCTCACACTGGTTGTTAGGCTAGAAAAAAAATACAATTCATTTTTTTTGTATTGGGGAAATCCTGTTGAGATTCTGAGGAAAATTGGTAAAACAGTGTTTTAGTTATAATTCATTATGCAGTGTCTCATTTTGGGATCGTGTTTTTGGCCAGGGTACATCTGGCCAGCCATGCTGTGATAGCGCCCCAAGCCTTCTTTTGGTTCTCATTTAGGTTAGAAAAGTAATTAAAGGAGGCTAAAAAAAGAAGTGACAGAATTACTGACTTGTCTTTCCAAAAGTGAAGGGTTTAGGCCAAACTCCTGCTTAGAAAATAAACAGAATTTCATTTTTTGTTGCAAATTCTTCCCATATATTGAATTTCCGTGCTCATTGACAAGGGGAATCTGCTTGAGTGAGCAATGATTGGATTCCGATGGCTTTGAGTTGTGCTTGGATCTGCTTTGGAAAGCTGGGGCTGTCCTTGGAGAGCAGGGCTTGGGCCTGAGCTTGAGTTGTTCTCTAAGGATCACAAACCTTGCAGCCTGAGTTATCAACCTGTAACTCCTATGGCTGTGCCTGGAAATGATTTTCCTGCCCAGTGTCCTGCCCAGCAGGGCTGTGGTAGAGCCCTTCCTCCCCAGATTAGGCCAACATTTGTTAGTCTGAGCCTAGAAACCATTTTCAATGGAGGCAGGTTGCAGAGGTTGGCTCTTTTGGCACATGTGGGTGTGAATGTCCTTCCCACCTTCTCTCCTGCAAGAAGAGGAAACCCACATTGGGATAATTTCTGCAGAAAGCAGGGAATTTGGGCTAGTGGGGGGTGTTTGAGCTTGTCCCAAGCATGCCCACCACCAGGACCCTCTGATGTGGGGCAGGGATGAGCCCTGGCAGTGGGCTGGGAGATGTTTTAGTGGTCACCACGAGCATCAGGGCTCCTCTGGGCAGCTGGGGGTGACAGCAGACGGCCCCAGGGGAAGTGCTTTGGGAGCCAGGGGGGTTGAAGATGCTCTGTGCCTCGGGTGATAAATTGATGGATGCGTCATGGCTCAGGAAACAGGGCAGGGAAGGATGTGAGTGACAGAGGATTCATATCCTGGAAGCGCCGCCGTGTCACGGCTCGGGAATTCAGCAGGATAAATGCGTTTGCCTGTCCTGCTGCAGACAATCTGCTTAATGTGGGAAGCAGAGTTTCCTGTAGCACCGAGCCAGTGGGGAAGGGAAAACCCTGAGAGCCAGGAAGGGCCAGGGAGAATTAAGCAGGTAAACCCATTAGCAGTGACCACCTCTTTGTGTGGGGATTACACAAAGCTGCTGCTCTTGGATGCTCGGTGTCTCGGGAGGAGCCAGGGCTGCCACTGGGGGCCTCTCCCCTCTCCTGAGGGGCTCGACCCCGGGGCTGGGATTAGCACTTGCCACAAGCCGGCCTCGCTAGCCAGAACAAGTCGCTGCACGTGCTGAGAGAGAGCCCAAGCTGCAGGAACCGTGCGAGGCAGAGGTTTGGCTGGCTTTGCTCCGGCAAATCCCTCCATTCCTCCCAAAGGCATCTTCCTCATGGAAATCGCTCTTTAACCAGCAGATTTGCACTGTTCTGCTACTCCCGACAGGGGTAGACCCCAGCTCCCTCCTCACCTCGGGAATTCTTCAGATCCTGGCTCTGCAAACGGAGTCGGGGCACAAGGGGGAACTGATGTGCTGTCCCAAGAGCTTCTCTCGGTCAGGACATCCCGAAACGGTTCGGCATTAGCTCGGGCCGGTGGGGAGGGAGCTCTGGGGTGCAGGGGAGGGTGCCGGGAGAGGGGGGACACCCCAGTGCCAGGGAGGGCTGCAGGGCTGGTGAGCACGGCCAGGGACCAGCCGGAGCCTCCGAGGGGACGGTGCCGCAGGAGCCCGGGGTGGCCGGCGCTGTGTCCCGGAGCCCCGTCCCGAGCCGTGTGTGTCCTCCGGCAGCCCTTCCAAAATGCCAACCACAGGAAACAGCAGAAACCCAAACCCTCCTTTTGCTCGGACTGCCATCAGCTCCCAGACTTTAATACCAGACCGTTCTCTCGCTGCTTTGGCTGCTGGGGCCGGGGCCGAGCGCTGCTGTCTCATGGCTGAGGAGGGTGAGAGGAGGAGGAAGGAGAAGCCACGCTGCGGGATGGGCGGTGCTGCGGGGAGCCTGACCCCGCTGTACCCCTCCTGCTCCCCCCGGGGTCCCGCAGCCCCGGCCCGCTGCAGCTCCCGGAGCTCCGTTCGTGCTCCAGATGCTGAGCCAGATGTTGGCGCTGCCGCTGGCAGCGGCGGTGCCGGGGGATGCCCGGTTCCCCCCGCTGCCCGAGCTCCGGCGCGGCCGCACCGCCACCTCCCGGGCATCCCGGAGGGCTCCGTGTGCCGGCCCCGCCAGCTGCCGCGCTCACTTCGTTTATTCTCTTTATTCCCTGCACACTCGGGCTCCCAGCACTTCCCGGGAAAGATATTCACGTGTAATGATTTTATTAAATCTTATAATTCTCCTTTTTTGCCTCTCACCCTAAGGACAAACGCCCTGAGGTGAGAGTGGTTTCTCTGGGCAATGCTGGCTTGTCCATCTGTCTGAAGCAATTACTGCAGCTTCCCCGGGGATTATTTTTCTGCCCAGGTGTTGACATTTTTCCCCAGCTGGGTGTCAAGCCGTACCTGCGGGGGCGGTTTGGGAGCAGCAGAAGCCTAACGAGAGAGCGCCCTGGGTTAATGAGGTGTTGCAAGACAGCACAGCTAAATCCAGCATTACACGGTCCAACTTCCCAGCTTAATTAGAAACCTGGATCTCCTGCTCATGCATTAGTTCACTTTATGACTTGAGTGACAGCCCAGCCTCTCACAGGGAAGGTGAACGCTGTGTTTAAGAAGAGTGTGGGTGTTGTTGGCTGTCCACATCCCCCTGTCTTGCCCAGCTTTGTGTTTGCCATGGGAATATCATGCTGGGCCCACCAGAGCAGCTGAGCCAGGCAGTGGTTGGGTCCCTCTCTTGGCCATGAGGAGCAGCCGGGACCTGCAGGATTTGCAGAATCCACCTTTCCCCTCTGTTTCCTTGGGAAGCAGCTCTGAAGGGCCATGGGGAAGGTGCAAGGGCCAGGCACACGCTACTTCCCAGCTATGGCTCCAGCATTCCCTGTGTGCCTGGGAGCACAGCACCACACAGCTGCTACCAGTGCTGGGGACAAGGCTTGGGAGCCAGCAAGTGCAGAAGTTTGGGAGTGCAGTAATTAGTGGCTAATTGCTGCAGCAGAAATATGCAAGGCAGAGTGCCTTGTATTCCTTCCTCCGTGTGGGATGGCTGATCCCAGGTTTGCTGGAGCAGGGAGTTCTTGTGTCTTCTCCCTGTCCTTGATGGCAGGATAGGACAAGGGGGGAATGCTTTAAGATGAAGGATGGTAGATTCAATTTGATATTAGAGATAAATTCTTCCCCGTGGGGGTGGTGAGGCCCTGGCACAGTTTTTCCAGAGGAGCTGTGGATGCTCTGAGTGGAGCATGGCAGTTCTGGTGATGCTCTCAGCTGCTCTTGAGCTGCCCTCGAGCTGCCTGGGAGATGTGCATTGTGCCAGCAGTGGAGAAACAGCTTCACAGGGTTTGGGAGCCACAAAGGGGCCTCAGTGGTGTTTTTAGAGCCCCATTTAACCAGACACGAGGCAGTGGGAGGATTCCCTCTGGGAATGGGTGTGATGCTCTGCCTCCCTTGTGCAGCCCCTTGCTGTTGTACATTGCACCCTCACACCCATCACTGCCCCATCCTCACCAGGACAGCCTCAAGGTGCCCGGAATTACTTGTGAACAGCTTGTAGAAGAGACATGTTTACTTAATAAATAAATACAAATAACATATGGCAGGTACTAGCATGAAATACACACTATTGATGTTGTGAGGGAGGCCAAGGTCTGAGGCTGGAGCTTTGCCTGGTTCAGCTTAACATGCCCAGCTGGCACTTACCAGGCTGGCCCTGGGTAGCAGGACTGGTGCTGCAATCTGGAATTGCTCGAGGGCATGTCAGAAGCCACACACCTGGATGGATAAATACATTAACACACAGTAAGTACCTGGGGAGGTTTTGCCTTAGAATGCCTGGGGACACAAAATGGGAACCGGTGTGATCCTTGGGCACATTTCTGGGTGTCTGCCCAGGGCAGGTCCTGGGAGCTACAGCGTGGGCATGGCACACGTGGGCACAGAGCTGAGGGTCGTGGCACATGGCTGAGGGTCATGGCACATGTGGGCACACAGCTGAGGGTCGTGGCACATGGCTGAGGGTCATGGCACATGTGGGCACACAGCTGAGGGTCATGGCACACATGGGCACACAGCTGAGGGTCATGGCACATGTGGGCACACAGCTGAGGGTCATGGCACATGGCTGAGGGTCATGGCACACGTGGGCAAAGAGCTGAGGGTCATGGCACATGGCTGAGGGTCAAGGCACACGTGGGCACACAGCTGAGGGCAGGGGGAGATGGGGCCCCCTGGACCTTGGGAAGATGTCAGGGCTCGTCCCCTCATCTCTGCAAAGCTTCGTGCAGAACAAAGGGGCTTTGGCTAAATTGGCAAAGCCTTGACCTAAAGCTCGGAGCTCTGCTGAGCTCTAAGGAGGCAGCAGCAGTCGGGTTTTGGGATTTGGGGCCATCTCTGAGCCTCGGGGCCGGGTCTCAGTCGGCTGAGACGGGCAGTGGCAGGAAGAGGATCGCCTTCTGGCCGTAGTGAGTCCGCGGGCCCAGCTTGCTGTTCCCGTTCTTCTTCAGCCCCACAAACCAGTTCTTGTCCGCGTGCAGTTTGGAGACGTAGGTGTTGTAATGGTTTTCTTCGAGCCTTTCCAGGAACAGACACTCCTCACCCAGTAACTGCTGGAAGAGAGCCCGAGGAAGAGCAGTGAGCCGTGGGCATGGGGCTGCTCCTGACGTGACAATGCCAGCCCAGCTCTCCCCTCTAAGATGCCATCCAGATCTGCCTCTGAGATTCCCACACCCCAGTAAAGTTCTTATTTAAACTGTGGGGTGGCTGGCCTTGATTTACTCCCCTGGGCCACTCCTGTAGCAAGGTATCTGTGACCTGGGAATTTTAATTGGTTTTAATTTTAAACCAGCCCCGTGCTCCATGAGCTGCTCCTGGCCCTGGCTCCTGCTCTGTCCCTGAGCTGTGTGGTGGCAGCTGCAGGCTCAGAGCACAGAACCAGAATGGTTTGGGTTGGAAAGGACCTTAAGGAGCTCCAGCTTGGGCAGGGACACCTACACCAGGTGGCAGCTGCCAGGGAGCTGCAGAGCAGCTGCTGCTCCAGGTACGAAACACAACATTTATCGAGTGCCAGGTAGGAAATACAATATTTGTCAGAGGCAGGGCAGTAAATGGCATGATTTGGTAATTTATTTATGCCCCCCCAAATAAAGCCAGATGCAGAGTGGCCATGCCAGAATCACAAACAGAGCCTAATTATTGCCTGTGCTTTGCATTAGCGAGCTGTGAGGTTTGTGCAGCCCTCTGATGGGCGATCCCACGGGATCCTGGCGCTTACCGAGCCGTAGAGCAGCCCGTTGGTGTCCATGGCCAGGTACTGCCCCGACTGCGTGCTCCTGATGTGCACCACCCCCACGCTCTCTGCACTCAGCTGCAGCTGAACTGGCAGGAAAAATAAAACAACAACAACAGTGAAAGGAAAATAGGAAAAGGAGGGGAAAAAGAGCGGTCAGGAAGGTTACTGGGGTATTTGGTTGAAGTCTGGCTTATAAAGAGTTTATAGGAAACAGTACAGTGTGTAATAAAAGTGTCTCCTTGTACCCTCTTCTTCAAAGAAATCCCACAGCCATCCTTTAGGAACCAAAAACCAATTTTCCCCTTATTTTACATCAAAGGAAGGGCAGCCTTTTGGTTACAGTGCTGGAATGGGACACAGGAGATTGGGGTTTTAATTCTGGCTCTAATTTACAAATTTCTCATGTGGTTTGACAAGACACTTAAGGAGTGACATATGAAGAAGTATTTTGAGAGCTAAGCCAGGGATGGGCAGCCTGCAGCTGCCTGCACTGCAAACCCCTGATCCAAAGCCTCTCTTCCAGCTGTCTGCTGCAGCTGCCTTGCTCTGGTGTGTTGTAGGTGGACAGTGGGGAAATAGAAAAGGCTGTGCCTGCAGTCACAGTGACTTGCAAATTCCAGCTCTTCCATCTCATTCCCATCTCGTAGGCAGCTTTTTTCCCTAAGATTTATAACAGCAATATTTAGGTTGGTTGGAATGAAGTATGAACGGATGTCTCTGCTCCAGCTCCTTCCTTCCTGTTTATACTTAATTTATTTATCCTTATTTAGATGAGGTAACAGGCAATGTTGCCTCTTGGCCTGGTGGAACACCCATTCCGGTGAAACCTTTGCTGTAATGGTTCACATTCTTCATTTTTGGCATTTCCTGCTCAGTAAATGATAGCTAATTAGGAAATTGTGTGGGTGCAGGTTTGCAGGAATGCTTGGCCCCTGTGCATGCCTGCTTTAGGCTGGGAATGTGCACTGGGAAAACCGCAGCCCACCTGCATTCCCTGAGGTGCTGCAGAGCTGGGACCTGGCTGAGGAGCAAAGGGAGAAAAGGGAAATGGGGTGAAATGATGATACTGTGCCAAAAATGTCCCTGAGAGAGGGGACTGAGGGACCCTCCTGCTGCCAGTGGGGATGTTGAGATTTTTGGCCCCAGAGGGAGGGAGAACAGTGGGTCCAGAGGAAGGAGCTTGTGCACTAAATTCTTACAGGTTCTCTTACAGGTCTGTACCCAGATTTCCTTCCATGAAGGAATGGGATGAAAAGGGGAAAAGGAAGCTTTGAGAACCTGCAGTGTCCAGGTAAGTTTTCTTTCCATTCCTTGGTGCGAGCTTGGAATGCCCACCTAAAGGATGTGGGAACTGGATCCAGACGTGGGGCTGGACAACAAAGGCTTAGAGAGAGTGACTCCTTCTGCTCTTCTTAGAGATCATCCCTGATTCTGAGGCCATTTAAGAGAAGAATTCTTGATATTTATCTGGAAGAAAATGCACATGGGCACTGGCAGCTGGCAGAGCACCGGTGCAGCTGGAACACTGCTGTCCCAATGAGCCGCGGGTGTTTCTGTGTCTTGTCCCTCCCTGGGGCTGGCAGGAGCGTGTCCCAGCTGGGTGACAATATCCCACAGTGCCAGCCGTGGGCTGGGCTGCTCCTCTGGCACACCAGGGAGCGTTTCTGAGCGGTTCCATCATTTTCCAGGCGCAGGGGCAGGACCGTGGGCAGCCGCGGGTGCTCAGAGCAGGGTGCCTCTCATCAGGGCTGCTCTGCTGGCACAGAGCCCTTCAGGAGTTTCCTCTGTAAATATTAGTGTATTCCTATAGCCCAGTTTACCAGAGCATTTACAGGAGGTTCCTTTCTGGCAGAGGTTTGCAAACACGTGGCCAGCAGCCAGGGAGGAGTGAGCGTGCCGGGGTGCAGGACCTGCCTGCACCACTCCAAGGTGGTGGATTCGCTTTTCCAGAGGGAAAAGGACTGGGCTGTGTGACAGCATCCATGCTGTGAGATAACAGCCTGCCACAGGAGTGGGTGCTCATGTCCTTGGTAGCTCCCCATGTCCCAGGAGGTGCCTTCTTGATCCTGACCTCCCCTTCTGACTCCAGCAAAGCCTCTGGAAAACGCTGCAGGGACCCTGCTGAGCTCATACCACCTCTCCTGGCGTGTTTGTGAGTCAGGCTCTGTCTCCTGCAGATCCTTTGGGTCATCATCCAGCCTTTCCCAGGAGTTTGAGGGTTATGGGCCAGATTTATTCCTGGCTGGAGGCTGGAGCAGCACGCTGCATTTATCCAGCCTCAGGGAGCTCATCTTCATCCATCCCCCAGCACGGCCTGGTGCCGGGGAGACAGAGTTTGTAACTAAAACTCGGCTCTAAACTGCCTGACATTAAAGCAACAACAGCGAGAGGAAAGGTTAAGTTTGGGGGAGAAGCCACATGTGTGTTTGCGGTTTAAAGAAAATAAAAGTCCGTTTCTTAGCACTTTGTAAGACTGGCTTGGCTCCTCCCAGCCCTTCCTTGCAGCGAGGCCGGAGCCCGGCAGGTCCCGGTCCCATTCCAGTAAATGTTCGGGATAAGAAGAGCCCAGCCCCGCTGCAGGAGCTCTGCTCTGTGGCCTGTCCATCTCTCCTGGGCAGCGGCTGAAGAGAAACCCTCGGGGGAGGTTTTGGTAACACAAAAAGCGTCAAGTTCCCAATGGTTCCTTGGAAGGACAAGGCGGGGGCTGCAGGAGCAGCTGCTCCCGGCAGAGATCCCGGTGTCCGGAGCCAGCAGGGTCGGGATGGGACAGCTGAGGGGACACCTGGCCAGGGTGACCGGGAAATGGCTGTGGAGCACGGATGGCAAAGCAAAGAGAGCACAGAATTCCATGTGCTGCTGTGAGTGTGGGGGCTGCCCCGAGCCCTCCCTGCGTGACCCAGCCCTGCCGGCTCCCCTCTGCTGCCACGGGCTGAAGCCAGGCTCAGAGATATCTATTTATAAACACCGGAGACATCTATTTATAAACCTCTGCACTTCCACAGCCCACACCTCTCACCTCCCCGGCTCCTCAGGTGTGCCCGGCCCCCGGGAGCTGTGCTGTGGCACAGAGCTCCTCCGGATGGCTTTTCCCCAGCTCCCCCCTCCCCAGCGGGTGTGATCAGGACAAGGAGGGTCCCGAGAAGGGAAGAAGGGCTTTGCTCACTGTGCTGGTCGCTGCGGTCCCTGGTGCCATCCACGGTGCCGTCCGGGAGGATGCGCAGGAAATGCCCCCCGTTGCTGCAGTACAGCAGTTTGGGTTTCTTGTAGTTGCCCGAGGGGAGGTTGAATTTTTCCGTCAGGGCGCTGAAGGTGGAGATTTCCCCCTCGGCCATCCCGCAGGCTGCAAGAGAGGTGAGGGCAGGGCTGGCACCGAGTTGCTGGGCACACTCTGCTGTGCGGGATTTAAAGGCAGGGAGGGATCCCCGGGGTCTCGGGCAGGTGATTCACAGCGCTGACACTGCCCAAGGTGATGCTCCCCCAGCGTGGGAGGCTGCGGGGGGCTGTCTCCTCTCCGCCTGGGGCTGGGCTGGAGGGACTCCGTCCTTTTAATTTTATCGCAGTGAATTCTGTTTTTCTTCTCCTTTCTATTGACGTACGCGCTAAAATTACACACTCAGAAAACCGGTTTGGAAAACACCCGGTGTCTGATTGGAACCCACAAGAGGCGGGAAGGGAGCCCAGGTAAAACTCTCTCTCCACTATTATAACTCTCAAACACAATTATGACCAGGAATTGCAACACCCACCGTGTGTCAGGTAGTAAATATTGCTCATCTCTTGGCACTCTGCAGCTCACCTGGCCCAGGAACACACATGGAAAAGGTCAGGACACAAGTTAGATGTGCTGGGAGATGAGCAAGGGGCAAGAACTTTCACTGCCTGGGCTGAGCAGATTTACCCAGACACTGATCAATAGCATGTGGAAAATGGGAATTTTGAGTCTAGGATATGCCGTGAATCCACCAGCAGCATCTCAGTGCCTAAAGGGGCTCCAGGAGAGCTGGAGAGGGGCTTTGGTCAAGGATCTGGAGTGACAGGGTAAGGGGGAATGGCTCCCAGTGCCAGAGGGCAGGGCTGGATGGGATCTTGGGCAGGAATTGTTCCCTGGCAGGGTGGGCAGGCCCTGGCACAGGGTGCCCAGAGCAGCTGGGGCTGCCCCTGGATCCCTGGCAGTGCCCAAGGCCAGGCTGGACACTGGGGCTGGGAGCAAGCTGGTCTAATGAAAGATCATATTGAAGTCTCATTTTGCTGGAGACTGTGGTCACAATCCATGTTTAAGCAGATGCTGTGCCAAAACCTGAAGGCATCACCAGACCAATCAAAGAAAATGCAGTGGATGTTGGAGGCTGACAAGTGAGAAGTGCTGTCACAGAAGTGCATCAGGAAATGCCACAGGTGGGGGCCAGAGTCCCATGGATATTCCAGGTGCAGTCATGTTTTTAGCCTAGAAACTACATTTAAAATCTCCCACAAATTCTTTTTGTCTTTCACACACAGAGTTCTGTTGTGCTTGGAGAGAAGTGGATTTATGAACAGAAAAAGACATGGCACAGAATAAATCTAGATACAGGAAATTGCTTTAAATGTCATGTATTCCCACAGCTATATTATGGAAAATATTTTATAGTCACTGTTTATATGTGTTTGTAGATTGTAAAAATGTCTCTTTAGCACTGAGTGGTGCTACTGGTACATTGGGATGGAGCCAGTACCAGACTGTGTGGGTTTGCTGTGCTGCTTGGAGTGCCCTGGGAGATACTGAGGGTGGCAGCTCTGCAGCACACGTGTGCATACACAGAGAATCGCTAAACATTTGGCTCTGAACTCTTCAGTATTTTAAAAAAATATGCAAAAGCAGCTGCAAGAGAGGGGAGCTACTCCTGGAAATGGATCCCAGATGCCTGCAGAGAATAAAAACCTCTGGAAGTTGGATTGCTAAAAGCAGAACCCCTGGAGATAAAGGCTGTGGCTGTTGGGGGGAACAGCCCCAGCACTGCACCAGCTCTGCTTCATACACAGACTTCAGCCCAGGCTCTCAGACACCCCATCTGACACAGATTTTGGGATTTTGGGAAGTGCTTTCTGGAGTCACAACATAGGCCAGCCCCCATCTATTGCCATGAGGTTGGAGATGCTGCCTCAGAAGCTCCAGGTGATACCAAATACAGACCCAAAATCTTTTTTAAACACCACTGTCAGGTGAAATTATTTCTTGGAGTGTCTGCTCCCTACATTTTTTTTTCTCTCAAGACATCACACTTTCCACGCAGCTCAGTTTCCTTGCCAAGTGCCAACCTTCCTCTGAAGGAAAGCCCCCAGGTCACCCAGGGTGGCACACAGGGCTCTGCCTCTCCTCTGAGCTTTAACCAAGCACTGGGTAATTTCCTAGAACCAAAGCATTTCTTGAGCCTTTATCTGAGGGTAAAGGCACCCAGAAGTGTCCTGGGTTGATGATGGATGGTACTGGGAAGCAAACACCCCAGAGCCAAGAGCTCTGAGCAGGATCTCAGCAAACCCTGCAGGCAGCAGGGGTGAGGAGCAGGCTGGATTCTACCCAAACCTCAAGGTCTGAGGGCATCTCCAGGCAGCTTGACCAGAGCACCCCAACTGGAAACAGCTTCTTCATCATCACTTACTTCCTCTAGGTTATTTTTGCTGTTTTTAGGAAGACTGCAGTGCTTGCCAGCTGCCCTGACTGCCCCAGCAAAGCTCACTGAACACTTTTCCACTCCTCTCGCCTCCCCGTGCTAAATACTATCACTGTTCTCAGACTTTATGGCCATGGAGTTGTTCCTCTACAAACACCACCACTCATGGCCCTACCATTATACTTTTGGCAGGAACATGTTAGGTTTTTAGGGGAATTAAAACACGAGTGAGAGAGAGAACCTGAACCAAAGACAACATAAAGGGCCTTATTTCTTTGGGTAGGAGCCCAACAATGCTATTAAATAGCTCAAAGCAGAACAGAAAGCTCTCTCAAATATGCAAAGCTGAGAGACACCACACACCAGTGGTTATTTGGTGTCCCATGGAGAAAGGAAAATGTTCTGAGGGGAGATTGCTGTGAGAGGGGAACGGCTGCTGCTGACCCCGCCGGTCGCACCAGGACAATGATTTGGAGCTGAGCTGGAGTCTCTTTGCCCAAGGGCTGCTGTGTTTGTGGCTCCTCTTTCCTCCAGCTCTGTGTAACAGCCTTGCTGTGCTGCCCGAGAGAAAACCCCAGCGAGGATGAATCCCTGGGAGCAGCACCTGGATAGCCCCAGCTCCATCTGCAGCGTGGAGAGCTGAGAGCACCCGGCTCCTTCTCCTGGATGGAGATGTCAGCAGCCCAAAGGATCAGAAATCATTTCTGAAGGTAAAAAAAAAGACTTAGGGAGTGAGCTAAACGCAAATGTTCATTTGATCCAGGTCCTGCTGAGCCGTGGTGGCTGAGCTGAGCTGCTCCCCACAGCTCGGAGGGAGAGGAGCCCGGCGCTGGCTGCAATAGCTGCGAAATTCTGAGAAGTTTGGGGTCGGTTCCAAACTTTATCACTGGCCAAACCAGTGGCTTTGATGTGAAATCCCAAACTCTGCAAGCATCTGACTCTGAGCATGGAGGGCTGGTGGTGCTGCCAATATCAGCAGGATAGCAGGATAGCCCTGGAAGGAGCGGGGACCTTTCCTCTCTGCTCTGAAGCTGCTACCACCTCTCTGCACTACACAGCTCTCGTTTGCATGACAAAGGTGGTGTTGATGGAAATGTGGGGGATTCCTAAAGGTCCAAAAGTTTTTTGCATGTTGGAATTGCCAGGAACTTTTGTGGTTTTTTATGTTTTTTATGGGTCCTGTGGCACAAATTTAGTGGCCAGCAAGGGCTCAACCCAGGGGTAGCCAGGCTGAGATGGGCCTTTTTCCTTTAGGGATGAAATACCTGGGTACTACATGGAGGAAAGCAGAAGTATCTCACCTACTGGGTTAAAATCAGATTGGGTTGATTCAAATACACCAAAATTGTCCTTGGTTTTGGACACAATCTTTTATGTAGAGTTGGAAAGAAATGTTCTGCATGGCCTCTGACTGGCCATGGTGATGAAAGGTGCAGTTAATTACAATTGTCATTTAGATGATCAGCTAAAGATCACACAAAGAGAACTCCAGAGAGATGAGAAGCTGTTAAACCCAGGAGTCTCCTGAGGTTTTGTCCAACTCTGCTTAATGAGATCAGTGTCTCCTGAACCCGGCTCTGGTGAGTTCAGTGGAAACACTCCAGTTGGTTTCACTTTGGAAAGTGTTATTTTCTCCATTAAAGCAGAAATCCTGTTTCTTCCTGAGGACGTGTGACTCAGCTGGGGTCAGACAGCATCACCTCCTGATGGGCTCCTTTCCCATTCCCACTGCTGACTGCAGCCACCTGAACAGAGCAGCCACTTCCCAGGCAGCTCAGACACTCCACATGGGAATGGAAAACTCAACAGGTAGATTATTTTTAAGGAATTCAGGCTCTGAATTGCCTTTCCTGGGGGTTCCTGTGGGTTTTAGGATGATCTGAGATCTACCCAGGCATGTGGAACAAACATCTCAGATAAACAGGGATTTTATTCATCATGAGTTTTGGAGAACCATTTCATGGGATGGATTTCCTCATGCAGGAAAGGATTAGAGACCAGGCAGAGGTTTCCTCATGCTCTGGTTGCTGCAGGAGCAGCTCGGTGGGGCTGGGGTTATCCTCAGCATGGGCAGCCTGCAAGGGCTGGCTCCCCTCCTGAGGGCTGGCAGTGCAAGGCACAGCTCGAATTCCTTGGGCTGTACATCCTCTCAGAAGGATTTAATAAATGATTAGACAAAGCATACATAAATATGTAATAGATCACTCTCTGAGTACCAGTGGAATGCATTGGCTCGTTTCTAGTCTTGTTTATGGCCAGGTGATTTTATCTCTAGCGATGTGATTAGCTGCTTAATGAAATATTTATCGGGTGGGTTTTACCCTTTGCAAGTGGAATATGTTGTGTGAAGTGCCACCAAAAGTATCAAAATCAATTTAACTAATGTCTGCTGTCATCATTGCCTGCTCTGCACCAGAAAAGAGCCATTCCACTCAGCCACACTGGATTTGTGGCAGGTAAAACACAGGGGCTGTAAAGCTGAAACTTCAGCATTTTCCTGAGTGGCTGTCACTAATGGCTGGTGGCCAACACAGCAGCACCACGGGAGGGACAGGGTTAACCCATCCCAGCCCTCAGGGATGCCCAAGGGATGTCCTGGAGCCAGCTGTGGCTTCTTCAGGGCTTCAGAGCCCTGTTCACCCGAGCTGCTGCTCCCCCCTGGGACAGCCCTACAACATCCCACCAAACCGGC